TTGTCCATAGCTTCAGGTGTCCCCAGGTCTCACCACACTTTGGACCATCCAGCCCTTCCTCTTCTCTCTCTCATCTCCAGGCCAACGGGAGTCTATGGAACGTGGTTGAATTCAGCCCATTTCTTCATTGCTGCCTTTCCCCAACTTCCAGTCACCAGTAGCCCAATGTAGTTGCCAGCAAGCTTACATACTGATCATGTGTTCCCTTTGAGTTTCAGCCTTAGAGGAGGGTTTGTCCTGAAGGAACTTGATTGCTTGCCTTGATGGCTTCCTGGCTAACAACTTGCTTATTCTTTGTAGAAGCCAGCCATTTTTGTTTTGGATTTTTCCTGATTATCTTTCTTTGAAGATGTATCTTCTGTCACTCTAGCTGTTCCAGACTGGCCTCTTGTCCTTTCTAGTGGGAATGTCCGACCTCAGAAGGTTCTGAATGGGGCTCAAGAGTCCACATAAGGTCCTATACACTGCAAAGGCTTTGCAAGAGGCCTATTTCACTGGACAAATTCTAGAACCCATTTTAGGTATTCCAATCAGTTTTAGGCTGAAGACGGGCATATAAGCTTTCTGTAACCATGTTTCCCAACATTCCTTTCTATCCCACTCAAGTGTCTATTTTACAATATTAGGCAAGGGATGTCATATTATTTTAAAAAGTGTTTGTTTCTGCCCCCACCCCCCACCCCCCAGTTTCTCAGATTATTTGCTCAGCATGCAGATTGAATAAGTATGGTGAAAGACTACAACCCTGATGCACAACTTTGCTGATTTTAAATCAGTGTTCTCTTGTTGTGTTAGAACAACTGCCTTTTGGTCCATGTACAGGTTCCTCATAAGCACAATTAAGTGTTCCAGAATACTCATTCGCTGCAATGCTGTCCATAGGTTGTCATGATCAACACAATCGAGCGCCTTTGCATGATCAATTAGTCACAGGTAAATATCTTTCTGGTATTCTCTGCTTTCAGCCAAGATCTATCTGACATCAGCGATGATATCCTTCATTTCACGTGTCCTTCTGAATCTGGCTTGAACCTCTGGAAGTACTCTGTCAATGTATGATCGCAGCCATTTTTAGAATATCTTTAGCAAAATTTTACTTGCATGTGATGCTAATGATATTTTCTGATGATTTCTACATTCCTTTGGATTAGCTCTCTTTGGAATGGACACAAATATAGATCTCTTCCTGTCAGTTGGCCAGAAAGCTGTCTTCCAAATTTCTTAACATAGATGAGAAAAAGTGGTCTTTTAAAAATTAGTAAATATCCCAAAAGCAAAGGCTTTATATTGTGTGCATCATGACAAGCTATGGACAACATTGCAACGTATGAGTATTCCGGAACACTTAATTGTGCTCACGAGGAATCTGTACCTGGACCAGGAAACAGTTGTTGGAAAAGAACATGGGAACACTGAATGGTACCTCAAGTTGAGGTAACTGAAGAAAAAAATTCAAGCCTCAACTTGCAATATTGATGGATTCTGTGGACAAATTATTGAATAATGCAGAAAGTATCAAAAGAAGATGGAAGGTATAAACAGAGAAAAAGAAATGCTTGATATTCAACCAATTCAATAGATAGCATATGATCAAGAGTCAATGGTACTGAAGGAAGAAATCCAAGGCACATTGAAGGCATTGACAAAGAACAGGGCACTAGGAGTTGATGAAATACAAACTGAAATCTTTCAACAAACTGATACAGCACTGGAGGTACTCATTTATCTATGCTAAGAAATTTGGAAGACAACTGCCTGGCCAACTGACAGGAAGAGATCCATATTTGTGCCCATTCCAAAGACAGGCACCCTAATGGAATGCAGAAGTCATTGGACAATATCATACAAGTAAAATTTTGCTAAAGATAATTCAAAATCAGTTGCAAACATACATTGGTAGAGAATTGCCAGAGGTTCAAGCCAGAGTCAGATGAGGATGTGGAACAAGGAAAGTCATTAGTGATGTCAGATAATCTTGGCTGAATGCAGAGAATACCAGAAAGATGTTTACCTTTGCTTTATTCACTATGCAAATTCTTTCGATTGTGTGGGTCATGAGAAGTTATAAGTAACATTACAGAGAATGAGTATTTTGGAACAATCATTTGTGTTCCTAAGGAACCTGTACATATACTAATAGGCAGTTCAAAAACAACAAGGGAACACTAAATGGTTTGAAATTTGGAAAGATGTGTACCAGGGTTGTTTCACCATGTTTATATAATCTGTATGTTAAGGACATAGTCTGACCAGCTGGATTATAGAAGAAAAACTTGTCATCAGGATTGGAGGAAGACTCATTAACGTCCTGCGATATGCAACCTTGCTTGCTTAATGTGAAGAGAATTTAAAACACTTACTAGTGAAGATCAAAGACCACAGCCTTCGGTATGAGTTGCACCTCAATGGAAAGAAAACAAAAATCCTCGCTACTGAACCAATAAACAACATCCATATAAATGGAGTAAAGATTGAAGTTGTCAAAGTCTTCATTTTGCTTGGATTAACCATCAATACTCATGGAAGCAGCAGTCAAGAAATCAAATGATGTATTGCATTAGACAAATCAACTGTACAAGACCTCTGTAATGTTTTGAAGAGCAAAGATGGCAGTTTGAGGACTAAGATGCACCTGAACCAAGCCATGGTTTTTTCAATAACCTCATAAACATGTGAAAGTTGGACAGTGGATAAGGAATACCATAAAAGAATTGATGCTTTTGAGTTATGATGTTGGAGGAGAATATTGATGCCAAAAGAACCAATAGATCCGTTTTGGAAGAAGTGCAGCCAGGATGGCCAAACTTTGTCTCTCATACTTCTGACATATTGTCAGGAGGGACCAGCCCCTGGAGGAGGATATCATGTTTGGTAAAGTGGAGCAATGGAGAAAAAGAGGGAGATCCCCAAGTAGATGGACTAGCACAGTGGTGGCATCAATGGGCCTAAATATAGCAATGATTGTGAAGTTGGTGCAGCACTGGGCACCTAACGACAACAATAATAACAATATTTGTTAAGACATTAGGTATGAAAATATTTTTAGAAAAATAATGGACTACTATAGAATTGAAGAGCCCAAATGCACATCTAATTTCCCTGGGATTGAATCTATTTAAGCAGTGCCAATTTTGTTATTTCCACCACTTGTCTGTCAGTTTGTCGACTGTGGTGGCTTGGGTGTTGCTGTGTTTCTGGAAGTTATGCCATGGGCTTTTTATTTTTTATTATGATACATACTTTGAATGCCTAGGAGTTTTTATTATGTCATGCTAAGTCTTTTACCCTGGTAATAAGCTTTATTAGTTTCTTACTCACCTTTAATCATTCATTTCAACTCAATTGCATCTTTGCAAAGACAACACTGTGGAAGCGAAATAATATAAATACATTTTTCTAAAGGCAGACAACTTCAAGGTCTGAATTTCTGGTGTTTGTGGGTTACTCAGTATAATGAATTAGCATGTAAAGGCGGTTTTGGAGGTTTTTCATTTAAATCTTTAATACTTTAGTCTCGCAGTAAATAAGTTAATGGATAGTGATTTGATTAAATTACAAATCTCCTTTAACATGGCTAATTTCCATTATATATTGTAACTTTGGCCTTCCCCAGGGTTATCAGTATCATGGAGAAGAGGACAAGAGAGACACAAAAGCCACTTTCCTGCGCCTGCCCTATGCAGAGTCCCCATAATTTTGTCCAGGGATCATTGTTTAGCATAGTGGTCTACTGAACGATAAAAGCTCACTGACTGTATCCTGAAGTCCCAAGTGAAAATAGTTTATCCCAAATTGACCCAAAGGAAATTGAAATGAGCCAAAATGAAAAGAAAGAATTTCATACTGTTTGGACTGCCAAATTACATAAAGATAATAAATAATTGTGAGGTGGGGATTGAAGTGTTGAATGTGATTATTTTTTCATTAAAAAATAATTTTTGATACAATAGGATGAATGCAAAACTAATGTTCTCCCATATAAACTATCACATAATTTACAATAAAACATTAAAAATAATACTTTTTGAAGCATGTCATTCTTTAATGCTTACTAAAGCACACATGAAAAGACTTACTTTGATGTTCCACATGGAGGGGTAAACAGCCTGAAGATATTTGTGTCCCTGCTAAGGCTTTAGAAGCATATTTCTATAATTGTAAAATTGACTGTAAGCTAAATTGTGTTTAAGCATGTTTATTTCCAAGTTTCCTATACAGGCAAAAGTACTAAATAATGTCTGGCACACATGTAATACACAATAAATATTAGTAATAGCAATAGAAGTTAGATAGCTTCTGTATTACACTAAGACACTGAGGGAAATGTCTCAGGGATTGTTGTTTTATGTTAGGGAACACAATCGTTCCAGTTAAAACTGCATAGAGATTTTATCATGTCTCAGAATTGAACATTGAAACACATTAATACCCATGAAGTTTCAGGAGGCTACCCTTTTCCCTCCAGATTTTGGTAACTTGAAAAAAAATATGTTTTTCTTCATAAGCATATTTTAATATATTTAATAATAGGAAAATATACAAAAATGGAGAAACAGAAATATAGAAAAAATAAAAGTTTAAACAAAATGAAATTCCAATGCATTAGAAAAAAGCTGACTTGGAAAAATTGTCAATATTAATGTGGATCTTACTGCCTCTAGCCTTATCTCCTATAGTATGAGGTTTGTAGGAAACTTCCAATTTAATCATACTCAAATATGTAAATATTAGTTATAGCTTCAAGTTTTTCATTACAAGCTTAATAAAAAATAAGAGAAAACACATCGAAACCTCTTCAATTTCAGGAGAACTTAGTTTGAAGCATAGATCTAGAACTGTTAGAAAGCACGTTGTTGTCCTTCAGTGTCGAAAAGCGAGATAGAATTTTCACTTTTCTTAACCACAGTCTTACTATCAAAAGCATATCCTGTAACTTAAAAAAAAAAAAACACACAAAAAAACTTTCTTCGGTAATATTTGATGACATTTCCCTTCATTAAAAAAATAATATAATACTTAGAAATGTAGAAATAACATTCTTAAGGAACAATATGGAAACTTGTGGTTTCCTTCCTGCTTCAGTTCATGACAAAAAGCAGTTTGTGTTCACACAGTGTCTGAAGGTCCAAGGAATTCCATTTCTACAGCAGCTTTTGGCCCTGGGGATGAACCACCCTTCTTCTTTCGGAATTCTGCCGCAATTTCTTCAAAGGATTTTCCTTTGGTTTCCGGAACTTTAAAGAACGTAAACAGAGTGAAGAGCAGGACTATTCCAGCAAAGAGGAAAAACACATAAGGTCCACAGAAATCCTGGAGACAGAACAAATACAGAGTTCTAATTAGCAGCTGTTCAACCCATCTTCTGTTGAGTAAATTTGCACATTTAGGCTGCTTACCGCAATGTACTGGAAACATACAGCGACGATGAAATTGCAGACCCAATTGCTAAATGCAGCTAGTGCTAACGCAGCAGGACGCGGCCCTTGACTGAAAAACTCGGCCACCATGAACCAAGGAATGGGGCCAGGGCCAATTTCAAAGAAACTGACGAAGAGGAAGATGGCTATCATGCTCACGTAACTCATCCACTCCAATTTCTCCTGAAGGAGGAAACAGAAAGGTGGAACTGAGGTAAATGACTGCTTCTTCCTTCTGCTAAGTAACTTTCCACTGAGTCATGCTTTAATCTTTGGAGCTCCCTTACAGCAGCCTTCTGAATTAGGACTTTATGTGACCCTTGATGATTCTTTTCCTGTGAAAGACCAGAAGCAAGAGTCCAGTGGCCTTTGCTGTTGCTCATACTAGGGTTGCTGGACAGTCTGAATATTTTGTGAAGTCATGAGTAGATGAGGACTCTGGGTTTCTGGAGAGGTCACACAGTTAGCAAGTGGCAGAGTAAGTTAGGGTTGACCCCAGAGACTATGTTTTAATCATAAACCTGCATTGCCTCCCTGGGTGACAATCACAATTGACGTGATAATGCTCAGTCTTCAGACGCAAGAAATGAGTTGCTTCCCCTTTGTTGATATTTCTCCTTTGTACTATGAGGGGCTTCAAAAACTGCATGGAAAAATGGAATTTAAAGAGGATAACATTTTTCTATAAACTTTTTGAAGCCCCATGGTATATGATGTTTCCCTGGCTTCATTTTATTAGTCAATTTCTAAAGTTTTTGATATAGAAAGCACTTGGAGTACAAAGGTGCAATCATATGGTAACGGAAACTCACAGCGTAGACACCAAACTCACCAGGAACACAAGTCCCACGGACATGAAGATGGCACAAAAAAACATCCCACTCATTCCGATTAGAAACAGAGAGCGCCTCCCTGCCTTCTCCACAAGGAATACCTAGGAAAGTTATAAGAAAGAAAAAATTTGAGTGTGTGTGTGTGTGTGTGT